TTAAAATTTATAAAAAATAATATAAAATAAAGTATTTTTTTATATATTAAAAATATAATATATTTTTAAGTTATATAGCTAAGTTATAAATTAGCTTAAAAAATAAATAATATTTTATAAATAAAATTATTTTTTAAAAATATATTTTTAATGCTTTGCTATTATATAATAAAACGTTTTTCTAAATTAAAAGTTTTTTTTAATTTTATATATAAAAATTATTTTAATTCTACGTATAAAAATTCTTTTAAAATTATTCCTTAATTTTAAAAATAAATATAACAAAGTTATTTTATTATATAAAAAAATTCTTATTATTATTATTTTAATTAAAAAATTATTAATTTAAAATAAAAAAGTTTAATATTATTTAAAACTATTATATAAAAGTTTTATATATTAAAATATATTTTTTTTTTATAAATTATATAATATAGTTTTTTTTTAAATATTTTATAAGCTTTTAATTTTTAATACCTTTTATACATAACATGTTATAAATTTTTATAACAATTTTATTATTAATTAATTATAATATTTATATTTTACCTTGTTTAAAATCTTTTATAAAATCTTTTTAAAAGTTTTTTAATTTATATATAAAATTATTATATTTAATAAATAAATATACTACTTATTTATTAATTTTTTTTTTAATTAAATTATTAAAATTATATAAAATATTATTATATATATAAAAATTAATTATTTTTTATATAAAAATAAATATAATACTAGTTTATTTTGCGATTTTTTTAATTATAAACTTATATAAAATATCTAAAAATATTAAAAATTATTCTTTTAAAGCTTTAATATTTTAAAAAGTTTATTTTTAATAGCCTTTATATAATTAATTATTATTTAATATATTAATAAATATAAAAAATAAATAAAGGTTTTATTATAGTATAAATTTTAATATAATTTATATAATAATAGTTAAAAATAATATAATTACGTGCTATTAATTAAACTTTTATACAAAAAACTCCATTAAAGTATAACAGAAAGATTGATCTCTTTTTTTTGTTAATTATCCTAAAAAAACCAAAGTATAATATAAAATACGTAGTTTTATATAAAAAACTTTACTAAGGCATAATTATATATAAATTTTATTTTTATTTTTACTAATTTATATTTTTAAACTAAAAATACTAATTAATATTAAATAGCTAAAAAATATAATATTATATATAAATAAAAATATAAAATAAATAGCTATATATTAATTTACTTTTTAGCTATTCGTACAAAAGTAATACTTTTATACAAAGAATCTCTTATAATGCAGAGTTTTCTACTTATATACACCACCTGCCTAATTAGGTTAAATGCGCCAATTGCCGACCGTACAGATAACTTCATACGCAATAAGCGTTAGCCTCGCACATAACCAGTATTAGCCTCGTACGCAGTCAACACCACTATTACAACAATAGCCGTGTTTTTTATTAATAAAAATATTATAATTAATTTAAAAAATAGTACTAGATATTTTAAAATTAAAAAAAGTAAATATAATAACTAAAAAGGTTTTAAAAAAAATAAATATAACAATTTAAAAAGTAGTGTTAAATTTAAAAAAAATAAATATAATAATTTAAAAAATAATATTAAATTTAAAAAAAATAAATATAATAATTTAAAAAGTTAATTAGTTTAAATAATTAAATTTATTAATAACTAAATTATTTTATTAAATAATAATTTAATAAAATATATTTTATTATATATATAATTAAATAAAATAAATACTAAGAATAAATAAAAAAATAAAAATAAAAAAAGTAAAAAGTTTAAAAAATATAAAAAATTTAAAAAATTGCTTTAAAAAAGATTTAAAAAATCTTTTAAAACTAAAAAAAAAGCTGCTGCTTAAACTACTACCTAGACTATTGCTTAAATTTAAGTTTAAATTTAATATTACTTTTATTAATTATTAAAGAAATTCTAGAAAGCACGTTATAATTTTAACTAGTTTATAAAATAAAGTATAATATTATTTAAAAAATTTAAAAAAAAAAGGTTTTATTAAAAAAGTCGCTAACTTTTAATTTTAAAAAAAAATAAAAACAATGTTAAAATATTTAATAAAAGCGAATTTAAATAATTAATATGCTATTTATTAAGTATTTAATATATATAAATTTAATAAATAATTTTAAAAAGTAGACTTTATTTCAGGGTTTTTTATATAACAGGGGTTTTTTAAGATTAAATAGTTAGAAGATATACCAAGATATTTTAACTACAGCAAATAAAATAAACAAAAGCTGCTTATATTAAACTAAATAAATAAATTTAAACTATAAAAAATTAAATAGCTATTAAAAAAAAAAACAGTTAATATTATAAATCACTAGTTATTAAATTATAATAAAGATAGTCTAGTTTATTTATAGTATTAAGGCATTTTATTATATTTAGGATATAAAAAAGATAAAGATCTTATACTACTGCTACTATATATAGAAGGCTATTTATAGTGGGGTTATATATATGTGGCGGCTGGCTATCAGCTAATAATACTATTTATTAGGTAATGAGGTCACTATAAGTAGCTATCGCAGTTTGTTTCCTAAAATGGTGATTTAAAAGACAATTACTGTGTGAGATTATTAATTGAGCGGTGATGAAGACCTCACTTCTGCAAACATATTGAAGTTATCTAGGTAAGCCATGTGTTATACTGACGATCTACGTTAAACTTGTGAGATCTTTAACCCGCTTACAGTAATGATCAAGTGAAAGTGAATGAAAAGTGTGATTTATATAAGAGCGGTTGCACCGCTTCTGGATCGTTGTGGGGTGGAATCAATCGCCATCACACGATTCATCTACATCTATACATTGCCTACTTACTTACAGAACTTTACTCCCTCAACGGAAATAGCCGCCATTCGTCTCAATAACATACCCGAAGTTAACACACCCAACCACATTCAGTCACAAAAACACACACTAAAATGGCGAAGATAGCCATCATCGGCGCATCAGGCAAGCTGGGCGGAGCCACGCTCTCCGCGCTCCTGGCACATAAACTCGCACCACCATCCGACATCATAGCCCTGACATCGTCAGCGCCAGAGTCGCAGACATGGGGCAAGCTGGCCGCGACGGGCGCGCAAGTCCGGCACGCGCGGTTCGAAGACCCCGCGACGTTCGAACGCGCCCTCGAAGGGGCGGACACGTTCTTCCTCGTCTCGACGCCGGACATCGCGCTCGACTTTGGCGTCGCGATGGACTTCGACGGCACTGCGGCGGGCGAAACGCGGGGGCGAGAAAGCCATCATAGGAATGCCATCGATGCTGCTGTCAAGGCCGGCGTGAAATGGATCGTGTACTCGAGCCTCGCTTTCGGGTTTTCCGCAGGGGCAGGAGATGCTAGCAAGGCGGGCGTGATGCGTGCTCATCTGCGCACTGAGACGTATCTCCGCTCCGTGAGCGCGGCGCATGGGATCCACGTCACTATCTTGCGCGAAGGGTTGTACAATGAGTCGTGGCCGCTGTACCTTGGCTACTTCGACGTCAGTGCGACTAGCGAGAGGGACGTGGTCCCTCTAGCTGGCGATGGGAAGGTTTCTTGGACGGCTATACATGACCTTGGCGTTGCTAGCGCCATTGTCCTTTTAGGGGACGAGGAGTTCGCGGGGAAGACGGTTTACTTGTCCACGCGCGCCGAAAACGCGAAGACGGTCGCGGAAATCGCTCGGCTTGTTGGGGAGGCGAGGGGGAGGGATGTTCGTGTTGAGATTGTCGGTCGCCGCGAACATGAGAGGTATTACGTCGAGGAGAGGGGGAAGCCGAAACTTGCTGTTGAGTGGTGGGCGAGCACGTACGAGGCCCTTGAGAATGGCGAGTGTCTTGTTGATGACCCTACGCTGGAGGAATTGCTGGGTCGTGTTCGGTTGAAGCCGATTCCGGTTGAGGAGACTGTTGCTGCTATGGTTAAGGGGCTGAGGAACTGGAAGAGTAGGCAGGAGGCTTGAATGGGATGTTAAGCTTGTGGGTGGTATTAATGGTCATGGATAAAGGCAACAATGATATGTGTGGAAAGGGGTACGTGAGATGAATGTATGAGCTATGATATACAGTCTTCCCTTCTCTACAAAGTCTCAAGAATAATCTTGTCATGATGAAATTGTTTGCAATATTACATCGGTAACTATGTTGAATACTCGATATAGGACTCCAAAACAATGATACTAGATGCCCCAAACCTACCAATTCCACTCATAAATCGTATATCCGAGACTTGAGGAGGCAATTCAAGGTTAATAAGTATCGACTCTAGCGTTATGTATGATATTGCTAGTTGAACGTTGAGCCAATGAAGTGGTTGTCAATTTGATTGGGTGGGTGAGTCTTTGCACGGTCCGCCAACCAACCAATCCATCTCCTTTGACGTTCACCGAGGGCCACTATTTCGACACCGAAAAAATATCCAGGCTGCCCACTCCCAAAACTAAAACAACAACCATTATAATAGATCATGATGATGAGAGTGGGACTCGAACCCACGCGGATTGCTCCACTGCGAAATTTTGTTCAGATAATCCTGAACGCAGCGCCATAACCACTCGGCCATCTCACCAAAGGTTGTCGAGGCGCCATTTTTCGGGTGTTATGTAATTAGGAGTCTCCGTAAGTGATTGGTTTCACGGACTGGATTAGCTGGGTAGCTAAAATTCCGTGTCTGTTTGTGTCTTTGCTATTGTTGCGAGTCCGGGCCTCGAGGGACAGGAGACGCTTCGGGGTCACTTGTAGAGGGAGGACCCAAGGTTCTGTTCTGATCAGTCAACAGGGAGTCAGGAAGACGGGAGCTTACTGGCTTAAGTCACCATGTTTAGAGCCAAGTGACTTGAAGAGAGCAAGGCCTCTTCAAGCGCTGTGGTGCAGGTTTTTCAAGAGGTCTTGAACGAGGCCCGAGTGCAAAACCTGCTCCCGACACCATCTCTAGGTAGGTGATTGAAATTTAGTCGCTAGAGAGCTGTTCCCGCCCTTTCGATTTTGTTCTAATTTTTATTCTATGAAAGAATTCCCCTCAATTAAACGTTAGAGGTGCCTATGTAGACGCCAGGTGTAATGAGCGTAGGCTTTCTTGCCCGTATTCGTGTAGCTCAGATATCTAGAGAACTAATCTAAAGTTAAGGTAATTACCAACATCAGTTCCCGTATGTGGACAAGTCTATTATTCAATGAGCTGAAGCTTACTTATACTAAATAGATAACAGAAGGTAAAGAAATTAGAAAAGGGGCTATATGTATAGATAGGCCAAAGGGATCATGAAGAGGAAGTGATCCTTTGAAGCCATAAATGATTATTGACATTTCTACCCCTGTCGAGGGCTATATATACCGTTAATACCCATGGAGTATTAACGGCGTCGTTTTTACTCCGTCACAACCCCACAGCAAGCTCTCTCCTTGTGACAGGTGATAAGGGAAAAGGAAAACGCACTATGAAGGCTTTAGTGAAGATGTCTGCAGATTCTGGTGATGATTAATGAAGAAAGATAAGAAAGTAGTTGTCTGCAGAATGAAATGGTTGGTTGGAGATGATGATGGATAGATACTTGATTATGGTAGGAGGGAATACTGATATCTATATTCAAGCCAGAACTTCAAAACAGATACTCAAGAAAAATATTTGAATTAATAGAGGGTATTATCATTATGACTTACACACTCCTCAATTTCCTAAGTCGCTGTCACTCATGTCTAAACTACATTTCGCCAAGTATTTTTCTATTCACGATCAAATCAAGGAGACTCTGATTGAATTTTAATCCTCAATGAACACTACGTAAAGGGCCTTGAGATGCATGCCCTTAACAGCTCTCCCCGGACGTATAAGGGCAATTAGATGCACTTTGTCTCATTCAAATACCTAATGCGCACAATGAAATCTTGGACGGCGCACGGAAGGATGACACTCCGGGTTAGCGTCATTGTCATTCTGGTCATTCTCCTTTCTGGGACGGATCCAGCAACACCAAACCGCTTCGGGGTATTGCTCTAGCCAATGAGCAACGAGCATACCTTGGCGTAGGCTGTGTCGTGGTTGTGGATAACCTCACTTTCACCTCGCTTCCCGACAGCAAGCCAAGAAGATATTAGTCGTATCCAGTCATTATGGTTCATATTTTTTATATAAGGTGCCAGGTTTGCATCGTAAAGAGTCTTTTTCGTTCATCATCCACCACCAACATATCAGCATTTACTCCATTTAACTCGGTTCCCACAACATAATTACCCTTTATTTCGGTATCACCAGCACCAAGAACCATCAATCTCTACTTGACCATGCGACCCAGTTACACGACTGTTACCATAGCTCTGGCCACAGCTGGTCTTGCAACTCTGACGCAAGCCAGATGCTCTCCCACCCCCCTTTGCAAGGAGCTAGTGTTCACAATCAACGCGGCAGCCAACAACACAGCTCTTCCTCCTTATCCCAACTCTACGGAACCTGGTGTGCTCTTTCAGTATCTTAGCAGCTTCAATGCCTCAGCTCTTGGTACTGTCCCGGCTGCAGGGACCTTTAACATAAGTGCTTTGTATTGTGAGTCGACCGCCAAGGTGAAGGGCCGCGAGGGCACTATCCAATACCTCCTGCATGGTCTTCTTAGCAATAAGGTATGTAAACTCATCTCCTCTTTCTTTTTATCTTGCTGACATCTCCCCCTAGGAATACTGGAATGGCATAGATTTCCCCGAACCAGAGTTCCGTGGCCAATATTCCTGGATCTCTCACGCCGCCTCACAGGGATACGCCACCCTGGCCATCGACAACCTGGGCAACGGCAAATCTGACCGTCCTGACCCTATCAACATCGTCCAAACTCCAATGCAAATATCTGTGATTTACAGCATCCTTCGCGGCATCCGCGCCGGCTCGTTGCCGGGTGTGCCCAAGTACGACAAAGTAATCATGGGCACGCACTCCTACGGCTCGGTACTGGGCCGGTTGATCTCGACAATCTTCCCAACTAGCGGTGCAGACGCCTATATCCTCACGGCAACCGCCGCCAACCTCACCGGTTTGCAGCAGTTCATCGCTAACATCGCGCCGCGCGCCGCCTCTGTCGTGGATTCGCGCTTCGAGGGTCTAGCGCCAGCCTATCTGTCAGCGACCAAGAACATCCGCGAAGTCATCTACGGTCTCGATGGCTCCTTCGACCCCAAGGTTGCAGAGTGGGACGCTGCATCGCCGCACGTCTTCGGAGTAGGCGAAATCGCCGGTCGCGGCGCAACCGTGCCATCCAGTTTCGCTGGACCGGTTATGGTTATCTCAGGCCGACAGGACCAGATCGCTTGTGGAAATGGCAGCATCTTTGACCAGCCGACGGTTGATTGTGGTCTCGGGCCCGGAAGCCACGTTGATGAGACGCGAAGCCTGTTCCCCAACGCTACGTCATTTCAGGCATACGTGCCCGAGAATACTGCTCATAACCTCAACACGCACTATTCTGCGCCTGAGAGTTTTGGGGCTGCCCATACTTGGCTTGAGAGCGTTGGGTTCTGAGGGGTTTGCTGGAACATGCGGGCAAAGTAGAAGAGACAAGGTTGGTCAGTCAAAGCAATGTGATCGAAAGAGTCGAGTAATAAGATTGGGGCACTAGATTCTCATTTCTATCTTAATATTTTAGATTATAATTTAACTAGATTCTTACACAGCAATACTATATATCATCGTCTCGCGAACCTCCATGCATCTTGTCCAAGGTTTGTGTTCCATCGCTGTACTAATCGGAATGCTCCTTCATCTTGATTTGACGGATAAGTCTCACTGCGATTCTCGCAACATCATTGCATTTTGAAAATGTGATTAGACCCACTCCCCTTAACCATCTAACATAGTACCCAGAGCTAGCATATTAATTCCACGTCCATATATGGTTCCCATATATGCTCTTCTAAGCATGCCCGCAACTCTCTATCGCTTTGTATCTTCAGGTTCGAAATACACGATTTCATGTACTCTGTATACCAGTCTGGATCCAATGCCGTGACTCGTCCCACGCATATAGACCAGAGAAGCAGTCGCATGCTACCCATGGATACGCAAGACCCGTGTTCAAGGCTGTCATAGTCGCAGGCTATGATACTGTGCCGTAGGGCTTGCTGTAAGCTTAACAATATGGCCGCCCGGGGCCTTAATCTTCGGAACAGATAAGTAGAGCAAATTAACGCAGCGTTTCGTGCTGCCTCGTAGATCGATACTTCAGCAGCGCTTGAACTGTCCGACCCAGCAGGGGGTATTACTTCGAGGGAAAGAAGTTGATGTTCTGCGGCGCAACACATATGTGTGAATGTAGTCATATGTGATGATGCGGTGGACAGAACATTGTAAGATGTTCTGTATATTGTTGCAAATCGGGAGATGAGTTGTATAATTTCTCGTATTCTCGTCCCGCTTGACTCTAGGCTTGCCTCAGAGTTGCAATCTTTGCTAACGAAACCGTATTCCCACAGCCCATCAAACAATGGGGACGGTGCCGAATCAAGGCGAGGGCACTCGACACTAGGTTTGGACCCGGAAATCGTAACGGAAATCAAGTCCCCTCTGTTGTTTCGGTTAGTCGTCGTCAGCGGTAATTGAACAAAATGAAACCCTGTCGAAGACAAGGTTTGTCTGGCGCTGCTCACATGGATAGAAATGTCGACAGAGTGCCTTGACATCCTAACTTGTCGATACCACCCCTGACTCGGATCATATGCTGTAACGCTTCCCGGTGTATAGAATCTTGTGTGACATCGCCGGTGATGTTCTAAAAATTGATGAGTCCAAGTATATAGAGGGAGAGTGACATCGCTACTGCCCTACTTACACCGCATGCACCTAGCATCGCTATCCCCAAAATTAACGCGTCGCTAGCTGTGTCCTGAGAGCCATCCATGCGTTCTCTTATCTGACGCATCAACTGTCCTCGATGATACCACGTCGTCTGGCCCCATGATCTGCCATGAGTCATGTCTACGTGCACAGCAGCATGGAAGAGTATTGCCTCTATGAAGAGCGGATCTGTAATGATATAGCTGATCAAAATCGTGCTTAGCGGGTGCTGTGGTGACTGGTGATGGAAAGCCTGAATGGTGGGTACGATGTTGTAAATGACTGCTGAGAAGTCAGCCCGGTTGATGTGAGCTAAACAACGTTTACTAGAGACTTAACGAAAGGCAACGGCATATATAGTACATACAATGGGTGAATAACATAAGCCCCTCATGATGGGTGTACAGCGGAGTCGTGGAGAAGGGGTCAAATGCAAGCGCTGAGCCGATCTCAAGCGTGAGCATTGGGTTTGATCTGCTAGTATTCGCTTTTGAGATCTTATTCGACTCGTCTGGCGGCAACGTTAAGCAATCCGGATCTGCATGAGTACACAGAGTCGGCTGCAGTCGCTTGTGAGAAGATGTTTGCATTTGCATCTGCTTTTGACGTTGCTGCCGTTGGCTCCGCCGGTAAGCTCGCATTGCCGCCTCTCGGACAATCCCTCGATGCTTCGTAGCCACCTTGCCGCTGACTTGGTCCGAAGAGATAAATTGCCAAGTTGCACTCATTATGACGTTGATTCAACAAAAAACTTG